GACTCAAAAATATTGGGTCGCGATCAGAAATCATACTCTTGGGCATCCCATGCAGTTTACACACTAATTGAGAAAACACATCTGCCACTTTGGACGCTGTAAAATGAGTAGGAAGCATGCCAAAGTGTGCTGCCTTGGAGAAACGGTCCACCACAACCAGGATGACCGTGTGGTTTTGGAACGAAGGGAGCCCAACAATAAAATCAAGAGAAACATCCTCCCATACGCGGTTGGGTATGTCAATGGGCTGGAGTAACCCGATGGGGGCTTGAGTAGGAGATTTTATTTGTTGACAGACCAGGCATTGCTTAACAAATTGTGTCACGTCTGCCTTCATTCCGTGCCAGTAGAAATTCTCTTTGAGGCGCCCTATAGTCTTGCTAATACCCATATGGCCAGCCAAAGGTGAAGAGTGGAATTCGGACAGTAATAACTTCTTAATCGGAGATCGGGAGGGAATAAAAATTTTGCCCTTATATAATAGTAAGCCCTGCACAGCTCGCAGGTGTGGTTGGGAGTGAGGGTCTGCCTCCAATTTCTGTAAGAGCGACTGCACCTCAGGCTCTTGTGAATAAGCCTCTTTAAGTTTAGTAACGAATTCAAACTGAGGTACAGTAAGGACAGATAAGGATACATGTGAGTCCTCTACTCGTGACAAGGCATCCGCAACATGATTAGAGGCTCCCGGCTTGTACACTATAGTGTAGTCATACCCCAAGAGTTTTGACAAGTAGTACTGTTGCTCCGGGGTTTGAATAATCTGTGTCATGAGCTCGCGTAGGCTGCGTTGGTCGGTATGAATGGTGAACTTACGCCCCAGTAAGTACGGTCGCCATTTGCGCACTGCCTCGGTGATGGCATGTAGCTCACGGACATAAGTGGAAGCCTTTGACAACCGGTTGCAGAACTTCTTGCTGAAGAAACAAATCGGGTGCCCCTTTTGTAGTAAAACTGCTCCCATGCCCAGCCCCGAGGCATCAGTTTCCAACACAAATTCTGAATCAAAATCCGGGAGTTGTAACACAGGGGCTTGTGTCATTGCCAATTTCAGATTATCGAACGTTGTGCGTGCGTCATTTGTCCATTCAAAGGAATCTTTCTTAAGCATGTCTGTGAGGGGAGCAGCAATGGCTGCATACCGCTGTACGAATTTTCTGTAGAACCCAGTTAATCCCAGGAAGCCGCGTAGCTGTTTCAAGGTGCTTGGCAGTGGCCACTCGGTCATAGCTCTGATTTTCTCTGGGTCAGGACCAACCCCCCCTGCGGATATGATATGGCCCAGGTAATCAATGGACCTCTGAGCAAATGAACACTTGGATTTCTTGAGGAAGAATTGGTTCTGCAAAAGACATTCAAAGATTTGCTGCAAGTGTCCTATGTGGTCCTCCTCTGTTTTGCTAAAAACTAATATGTCATCAAAAAACACAATCACAAAACGACGAAGAAAAGGACGGAACAACCTGTTCATAGTTGCTTGAAAAGTCGCTGGTGCGTTGCAGAGCCCAAAGGGCATGACCAGAAACTCGTAATGTCCGTCGTGTGTGCGGAAAGCTGTTTTGGGTGTGTCCACGGGGTCCATCCGTATTTGATGGTACCCGGAGCGTAAATCCAGCTTAGAGAACCAGTAGGCACCGTGGAGCTCGTCCAGAAGCTCTTCAATGGTGGGGATCGGAAAGCGGTCCTTTAAGGTAATTGCGTTCAAGGCGCGGTAGTCTATGCAAAAACGCCACGACCCATCCTTCTTACGGACCAGCAACACCGGCGAGGAGAAGGGACTGGTGCTCCCTTGAATAATTCCTGCGGCAAGCATGTCACTGACCTGCTTCTCAATCTCCCTCTTTTGGAAGAAAGGGTACCGGTATGGGCGAACGTTAACCGGCGTAGAGCCCTCCGGTAGAGGAATTTTGTGGTCAATGTCGCGAGCTGGGGGAATTCCCGTTGGTGTTGCGAACAGCTGGTCATAGTTATCGAGTAGCTGTTGTACAGAAGGGGAAATAGGGTTCGGCTCTGGAGTGGGCTGAGAAGAAATGGAAGTGGGAACCACTTGCAAATGGAACAGCTCTAAAATGGACTGAGTAGCGGACATTCGGCGGATCTGGGCCAAGGATACTTCTTGGAGTCCACTGGGCTGGGCTCCTTTGAGCAGGACTATCTCCCCATTCTTAACAAATTTCATTGTTAAGTCTTCATAGTCTGTCAATATGGGTCCCAGGGTTTTTAACCACTGGACCCCCAATACCACTTCTGCACCGCTGATAGGTAACACAAAAAGGTCCACCACAAATTTATGAGGCCCAAACAGCAAGGAAATTTGCTTACACATCAGTGAGCAGTCGAGTTCATCGCCATTACCAACAATGACCTTGAAACCTTGGGTCTGGTGAGTTTGCAACCCCAAAAATCTCGCCATCCTCTCCTGAATGAAATTATGCGTGCTCCCACCGTCAACGAGAACGGAGAGCTCAGTCTTCTCAATGCGTCCCTTGACGCGTAGGGTTTGTGGAACCCCATGACCCACCAAGGCGTGGTAGCTTATCTGCCCAGTATCATCGTGAGGGACGTCGGGTACCTCAGGTGGCTCACTCCCTGGATCTAATTGACGTTCTAGATCAGATCTCTGAAAATCTAATTCGAAGTCTGGATCTGCAATTAACAGCATGAATAGGCGTTTACATTGATGCCCCGGACGATATTTTTCGTCGCAATTGTAGCACAACCCTTTCTCCCGCCGTGCTGCCATCTCTTCCTGCGAGAGTCGTTTGATTAGCGGTCCCCCTTTTGTAGGAATGGCGTTTTTTGCAACGGGTCCTTCACGCGCTCCACTCGCGTATCTGGGGTTGGTAGATTGCTGCTTGTAATTGGTACTGCTAAGGTGCGTGCTCTTGGGCAAGCTCTTAGCAATGTCGTTCGCCTTTTCTTCTTGCAATCGAGCAAGTCCTATGGCCTGGGACAGAGTAGTAGGAACTAAGGCTTGGACTTCTCTCCGAATGTCAGCTCGTAACCCAGAGATAAAACAGCTTAACAAGAACGGTGGTGGTAACCCGACGATCCTGTTAGCCAATGACTCGAACTGCGTTTGGTATTCTCGCACAGATGCCGTCTGGCACAGCTTGAACAAAGCACCTCGAGGGTCCTCATACTGAGAGGGGGCAAAACGAAGGTCGAGGGCTTGTAGAAATTGAGGCCAGGTATTTATCTGTCCATTTGCGTGCATCCATTGGAACCACCCAAGGGCCTCTCCTTCCATGTAGAAAGAAGCAATGCGTAGGCGTTGCTCTTCAGGAGTGCGATGAAACTCGAAAAACTGCGAGATCTTGAAGGTCCATCCAAGAGGGTCAGATCCATCAAATCTGGGCACATCCAATTTCATGGTTGTGCGAATCCCAGGCACAACGTTGTTGGCGTCGGCATGAAGATGATGAGGTGGGTGGGGAAGAGCTAGGGGTCTATTCTCCAACACCACCATTCTCTGTGTCATGGTCTGTAAATCGGTTTGCATAGCGAGGTGAGCCTCCAGCAAACGGTTTAAGGTGATTTCCAGGTTTTCGTTTGTGGTAGATGGGCTAGCCATTGAAGAGAGTGTGATGTACTCTCAATGAAAGCACCAGATGATAAGGCCTCACTTCGAGGGTGAGGCAGCCTCCTTAACAATTAAAGAAAACAAGGAAAATACTGAAGATTGCCTTCCCCATTCAAGGGTACTCAGAACGTTTAAATACAATGATCTGTGAGTCTCACACCTCACATTCGCATAACAGAATACAAGGGAGAAATAACAAATAACAACGTCCTACTCAGCGTGGTATCCGCTAACTAACTTATTTACATAATGCAACCTCTTCTAGAAGGTAAATTCACCGTCACTCAGCTCTTAGATCATGTGATAATCTCTCATCCACTTTGGCTTCTTTTTCTGACGCTTGGCCCATCTAGCTTTAGGAGTAACTAACTGGTCCAGCTCAGCTGTTGTGTCTTCTTCTTCATGGGCTGTGTCTTCATGGGCTGAGTTATCTTCACTGTGCTGGCCCATCATCTGAGGGCTCATATCATCTTTTGTCAAACTTTATGGAAGAGTAAAGTCGATACGCTGATTACCTTGTTAGGTTTGGTAGCAAAGATAAGATTGCCATGTGGGATCAGTCGCATATGGATGTGTTCTTTTGCTATGTACATTTCCCTCCTTACCCGGCAACAATTTTACTCACCGGTTATCTTTTTACAAAAGGATATATATATGGTCAATAAGCTTGCGATATTATTTAACACTCTATTTCGTCCAACATTATTGCATTAGAGATTCTAATTTACTATCCTCATCTATTATTTTTAGGCCCAAGACTTAGCGGGGAATCATTCAAATAACTCGTTTTACTATTCTATTTTCCATTGCTGACGAGAGATTTCCTTTTCCAACAAAGGCCGGAAATCGAAGTAAACAAATGGAAGAGAGAGAATATCCTTTCGAAATGTTGAAAGAATAAATGCCAACTGAGAAGTGAGAACAACAGTCTACAGTAGAAAAAGAGAGAGAGAGAGGGAGTGGTTCTTGTTTCGCTGATAAATAGTTATGCCTCATGAATAGGTCAGTCCAAAATATAGTGTCGCATAAAAGTCCAAATCAAGTTTCAGATTACTAAGCCGCGGCACATTTCTTTAGTTTTATCACTTGTTGGGAGTGATGGTAAAAGGTTTCATGGGCCGTTCGATTTCGATACGATCCATCTTGTGCAGTTTCCAAATTGCATCGGTTACCCAAAGTACGTCCATCTTACGACACAAGAAGCCGTTTAACCACTTCTTTATGTTGTTTCGTTCATAAAGTTCATGCCTTTCAACGGCCACCCCAAAACAAAATCTCAAACAGCATTTCAAAACCACCAACCCACCACCACCCCCACCCCATACATACCATTAAATATATTTGGAACGGAAAAAAAAAATTACCAAATTAAAACCAAAAAAGAAAAAAGGTAAAAATGACATACATATTAAAGTCTCCTAATCAGTTACAAAGCCTAACGCCTACCGCACTCAACACAAGGAAAAAAAAAAATGTACACTAAATCGGGTCCATCGAACCGGGTCTAAAATCTGCGCTACCTTGTCTACCTAGTTCTTTTTTTTTTTTCTTCCTTTTTTTCCTCTCTTCTCTTTCTCTCGTTTTTTTTTTTTTTAACAAATTAATAATTAATAATAATCAAAAACTGGGAACAATCGCAGCAGGGGCCACATCGGTTTCAACTCCACCCACTATCTCCCTCTTCCGCCGCATCTCCAACACTTTACGGTGGTGGTTCGAGTGCAATTCGCTGGAGAACGTGGGGCTACAAGCTGGCCTGTATTCGGGTAAGAGCCGACCCGACTTATATCGGACCCCACATGCGTTGCAAAGCGTTTTCGCTCCGAGCGGTCCAGTTCTCCACTGAGGGGTCTTCTGTACGCCGCAATGGCTGCACCGTCGTGGCGTCTGGGCGGCCGCACCGTCTGAAGAGGCCCTTTTCTTCGGTTTCTTCGCCGACGGCCTTACCTCGGAGCAAACCTGCTCGAGGCTTTGGGCTAAGTTGGTGTAAATTAGTAAAGGGCTCGAGGGGGACGAAGAGGAGGAAGAAGAAGATGTTGTAGTGGAGCTCGAGGAGGACTCGGTGAAAAGAGGTGACCCGAGTGGCCAAACCCGAACACCGGTTCTGGTTCGCTTGCTTCTAGCTTTGGTCTGAACCGGAGTTTTGAAACATGGCTGGTTAGGAACATTGCTTCCCGGTTCAGGCTCTTTCGCCACAAGGCACTTCGGTTTCTCCGTTAATGTTACGGTGGTGAAGACAGCAGAGAATTCCGAAAAGGAATCCTCCACGAAATGAGACAGCCACTCTAAGTCCGCCGCATCTTCCGCCTGTAAAAATTGCAACTTTCGTAAAGAACCAACACAAAACAACCTTAAAAACTGTTTCTTTTTCTTTTCTTTTTTTCCTTTTTTTTTTTTTTTTTTGGTGTGTGTTGTGAGAAATGGGAATGAAAGTACCGGAACGCTGAGCTCGCTAGTGGGCAGAGAGTTATAATCATCTTTGACAGAGTAACTGGTGCCGTGGTTACAAATTTGATGGCTTTGGTTCGCTTGTTGAATAGAGACACAAGCAGTGTCTTCTTCCTCCTTGTGCTGTTGTTGTTCTTCTTTCTCCTCATCTTCCACCACGTGCGAGAAATCAAGCAGGTCGTCAACGGAAAAGTCGTCGCAGGAGGCGGCATTAGGCACATTAAGCGCTGACAGCTCTTCCATGAAGGTTTGGGGGCTGAATTTCACGGCGGTTAAGTCTTTCCTAAAACTGGTCTTCAACGCTGCTGCCTCCACACACTCCATTTCTGTTTCAGCCTAACAGAAGAAAAAGAACCAAGACCCAATATATATTTAGAAAAACAGAAACTTTATCAAAGACCCGTTCTTTTTTTCGCTTGTTTTATTTATTTTTATTTGTTTTAATTCAGAAAATTCTCACATGTAGAGAGAGAGAGAGAGAAATAAAGAGAGAGAATACCTGAGGAGAGAGGAAGATAAGAAAACAGAGGAACAGAAGAGATGGGTGATGTGGTTGCAAGAGGAAGGGTAGAAGAAGGCAAGGGATGAAATTGAAAGAGGAGAGGATAGGGAGTTTGGTAAAGCATTGAATAAAGGGTGAAAGCGTCCGTGGATTATTACTAAAAGTACCCGTTTCCTTCTCTCTTTCTCTCTCTTCCCACTCCCTCCCTAATTTACTTTTCTTCTCTCTCCCTATAGTACCAAGTATTTATACATTTCAGATACGTTTCTATATTTTTGCATATAACTGTACAGTCACATTTACCCGAAATGTCCCGTGACCATTCTCAATTGGATTTGGTTTAGTAGGACAATTCGGACCGTATCCAAAATTTGGCACCAAATTTATATTTTACTATTTATTGTAACTTTTTGTTTTTGGTAGATTTATTATAACTTTTTAATTTTCAATCAATGTTGGTAAATACTATACCATACGGTGTTACTGTTACCCTCTTCCACCCGGTACCATAATTCGGAAAGACCTAGGAAACCACAATCTTTCTTTCTTAAAATAATATTCCCCTCTCTCTTTTTAACTTTTTCTTTTCCCCCTTCGAGAGAGAAGAGAATGGAAAACTAAAAATTGGGCCAAGTCTTTCACTGAATTACCCGCTATGCCTGGTTGTTGCCCCACCGTGCCCATCGCCGCTCATTTTGGATTTGCCCGTTCCCATCTATAGTTTACTTTTCCCGCTCTCTGTTTTCCAATTATATCACCTACGAAATGTTTAGAAAAATATAATATAACTTCGTGATAACATACTATATAAATAATTATCTTATCTAAAAGAAGGTTCATTAATTATTTTATATTTTATTTTTCTCATGGTATATTCATTAATTTGTTTCTCTTAAGAAAAAAAACTACTATGTAATAGCTTTTTAATCTCAAATGCACTTCCGCTGAAGCTTTATAAAGATTTCTCCAACAGGCTCCGAATAATGATAATATATATTTACATATATCACGGAAAGTTTAACTTGAATTTGGAAAGGGTCACGGATCTATACTCTTAATACAAATTTCGTGTTGCGCGTGAAATGCATATACATACACTATTAACACGCATGCGTCTTTAGCTATCAATAGTACAGGACAATAGGCTGATGATGAATTACAACTTTTCCTAAATGGTTAATGTGGGGATTGAAAGTTGTTTAATCCAGCTTGGTTTCTTATCAGGTTAATTATGGAAGGTATCTTTTCATCAATTAAACCACACCATTTTTTTTTTTTTGTAAAAGAAAAATGCTTAAATAATATGGTTTAATGTTCGAAATTTGAACTAGAACATAGAATAATTTGTAATAAGAAAACCATATATGTTTGGACAATGACTGAACTTCATATTGGTTAAAAAAAAAACAGAAACAAAAACAATAAAAAGGAAAGCAAAATGAGTTCTCTGTCGTTTGGATTACAGTCCAGCCCGGGAAAATCGTGTCTCGCATGGAAAATTAATAAAACGGATGAAATTGCTAGTAGAATTTGGAGTTGTGTCTCCTCTCACGCCATGTGCTAAATTACATCGAGCCCACTTGCTTCACCGTCTCTGTAGACTACGTTGTGTGCTTCTTTTTTATTAAAATAGAAAAGGCGATAAGATCGTATAGAGTATTTTTATTTTTTTAAGTAAATATTTTAATGTATATGATAAAATGATTGAAAATGATATAACCGGAATTCCATGAATACCCTTGGTCATGATGATACAGTTTCGGTTTGGATTTTGGGACATGGCATGCCTTGGAAGCAAAGTGAGTAAAAGTGATACCAAGCAATGACACCAAATCAGCTTTTGTCGCTCAGTAACCCAACTGACATTATTCCTCACCCACACTAGCTTCCTATATTAATCTATAACCACTCTAATTACTCAATTTTCATCGCTTTAACCTTTATTAAATTAGGGCCCAACTTGGTTTGGTAAGTAAAAATTCGATAAATCCATTTTAATTTTTTATACCAAAATCATATCGCGAGTTTCTTCTTTTAGTTTCATCGTGTTTTGTTTCTTAAATTAGTTTTATTTTTTATATACTTAATTGAGTTGACACTTAAAATTTGTCTGGAAAATACGCATTTAACCAAACTATTAATGTGTGATCTGATGTTACTTGTTTTATTAATAACCCCTTCGCTCATTTCGTGCGTATAAATATTGATGAACCATATCCGTGTAGTCTTCAAACCTTTAGCCAACCCTAGACTCGCCCACCAGCATTAATTTATTATAGGGATATAAATGTCTGCCTATTTAATATTTCTAATTTTATTATTGTTGATTAATTTTAAATTAACAGTTTTAAACATTGTAATATTAATTATTTTATTTCTCTCTTCATTATTTTTCTTAGCTAATTACACCAATTGTTCATCACTGTTGATTCAAATTTAATCAACGGAATTAAAAATAGAAAAATTAAATAGGGAGACAATATAACCGTCTTTTTATTTATTAAGGTAACGATTATCACAATTTATCAGGGAAGAAAAAATAATAACAACGCTACATTTCAAGAAAAAAAATGTATAGCCGTTATAATATTACAAGCTATGTAATCAAATAAATTAAAAGTGTATTGATAAATATTTTTAAAAAGTTTTATAATATTAATTACTTTTTTTCAGTTTTATTATGCTTAAATTAAAATAATTTTTTTATATTTTTTTCTGAATTATATATTTACTATAGAAATCTTTTTAATAAAAAAATACTTTTTCTTGAAAAAATAAACAAATAAATGCATCGTATTATTATACTACGAGTACGACGGCATCATTTATGCGATTGGGATAGATAAAGATTTGGGTTGAATTATAAATTTAAATAAAAAAAATTAGTTCTCTATTTATAAAGTTAATAACTTAATTCAGATAAAAATATAATGACTTATGGCCGAATCTTTTTCTAAAAAAGTTATAGAAATGGTCAATTTCAGAACGAATTAAATGGAATACTGAAATTTAGTCCACTAAGATTATAAATTAAATATGGTTTTATCATAATGTTTATGTAAAGAATTATCGTTTTGGTAAAGAATCTATCTAATAAATTTATTGTTTTGGATTTACATTCATAAGTTTTGAACCATCTTAATTACAAATAAAAAGATAACTTTAATTATTTCGATCAATTTCTTTTAAAAACAATTTAATCATATTCCTAATAACTTATTACATATTAACTAAACATTGAAAAATACTGCAGCCTTTATACAATTTATTTATTTTGCTTTACTTTAAATTATTCTGTACGTAAACATTATCGAATATAGTATTTTATTATATTATAACACCCGATATTAAACTCGAAGATTTTATATTAATTAAATATATTTCATACATTTCAGTATTTTTTTTAGTAGGTATACATTTTAGTATTTTACCAGTAATAGGTTTTAAAAATAAATAAAAAAACAAGAATATTCTAGACCCTCAATTAACAATTTTAGAAATAAAAGTTTTTCACTGAGCTCGTACAAGTAGAACAACTAAAACATTTTTGATTAAAAATAAAAAATAAATAAAAGAAAGGCGCGAAGAGAGTCAAATTAAATACGCACGCACGCATCTAAGATGCCAATGATCGACGCTTTCAATTTTTGTTATTCGGAAAACTAAACAGGTTATCGTCCAAGTTCTAAATAAATGTGACTAAATGACTTATAAAGTGAAGTTTTTGAGGTTTTGAAAATACGTTATAGACTGTACTAAAAAAAAATACGTTGTTGAGAGAGATGAGTAAGTATCAAACGAAAATTTAAATATTAAAAAAATCAATTTTAAAAAATATTTTTTATTTAAATTTCAAATTTTAATTATTTTTCATTTGTGATCGTTAGAAAAATGAAAAAAAATAAAACAAAGCACATAGAAGAGAGGAGCCGGCTCCTAAGTTGTTTTTAGCCGCCCCAGGTCTTTTTTATTTACGTGTTATGCTATGATTGGGCATGGCGCTGTCAAATGACGTTGTCCACGAAGCTGCGATTTCGAGGTTACTAACTCTGCTTGCTTTGTTAATTTTAAAACGATCCTTTGTTCACCAACAATAACAATTAACAACAACGGATTCATTTTATTTTATTTTTAAACTAACAACAACGGATTCATTAATCATTACAAAGAAGGACATTTTGTAGAACATTGTCGCAAATCACATGTGATTAAGTTTATTTTATTTTTTTATTTACAATAATATATTATTAAAGATTCTTTTAAAGAGTAATTTAAGAAAAAAGAATCATTCACTGTGATTTTTTATATGACAAAGTCATGCAAAAAATATAAGAACAAACATCATAAATAAGATCTTATAAATTTTAATAAAAATTCACTTTTTAGGGTTTTGTGTTTATTTTTGAGGACTTTACATTTCTCACGTGATAGGAACTAAAAAAATTTCTTATACATACTCAACCAAAGTGAGACCCACTATGAGAGAAAAAAACAAACAAAAAAATAAAAGCACGTGAATCGATGGGTCAGTAGGAATTTGCCCTCTTTTTATGGGGCAAGAGAACTTCATTACCCTTATTTTCATATAAAAATAAAGAAAATGATCCGTTTACAATTTTTTTTTTACAAATTACATTAAGTTTGACCGGTGATACACTTGTGAAAATTTGTAAACAAAAAATTTGAAAATGTATTTTTCCCCTAAAAATAATCTATTCTTACCTTTAAGAAGTTTTCTTAAAGGATTAATAATAATAAAATATTGAATAAAAAATAAAGTATGATTAAAAGCTTAAATTTTTTATTTAATATTTCCATATTTAAAATAAAAGTTTTATAAAAAATAACCAAAGTTAAACATACACTTAATTAATTTTCAATAAAAAAATATATGTAATTTATCATTCTTATTACAACTTTTATTTTATTAATAAAATGTTTAAGCGGATAATTTTGGATATTCAAAGTCATTTAAAATGGGAGTAAAAAATTTATAACTACGGCCTGATTCGTAAAAGAGAGTGACAGAATATCGCATTTCGTCTATATCTATCAGTGAAGATCATTTTATACCAATGAAGTTATATTTTTTATTTTAGTCATTGATTTATTTTTATTCAACGATTTTAATTTATTATATATTTAAACTTTTAAATATAAATAAATTAATAATTAATATTTGATGTAACATTTTTTA